GTGAGTGAGTTTGGTTTTACGCCGCTTTTAGCATTATTCCAGCAATATCACGGCGGGGAACACCAAAAATGGGCTTCACACATTTTGCCCATAGGGGAATCGAACCCGGGTCTTCTGCATGACGAGCGAACGCTTTAACCACTAGGCTAACCCACCGCCCAGAATATGTTTTAAGTCAGCGCTTAAAAATATATTGTTTGTACAGCACTTTGCGCGCACTCCACGTGTTTGACGCTATCTCTTGATGCTTTGGTACTTACTCACATTCAATAGTGTATGAAATAAGCCCAAAACCCAGCCAGACACCAGGGCTGGTAACTTCAAAATCTTACCAGCCCCAATTGGATTTAACCAGACCAGACAATCCCAAAAATAACTAAATTTTTACTCAGGTGTTTGGAACATATGTATGTATGGAACATAAAGTTTGTCCAGACCATCGGAGTGGCTAGCTGTAAATTTAGACCATCCGTCAGAAATGTAGCCCGTGTCTGACAGTCGGACGGGCTTTGTTTCATACAGCGCTTTAAACACTGTCCATACCCCATCTCAGACTCCATATCTCAGAGTGAGTCAACATTTATGGAAGCTTAGCAGTTTTACTCAGTTTTGGGATTTGTTTAAAGGTTCGATGTCGGATTCAAAAATATATTTTCTAACGTTTTGAGACAAGCAAAAGGTAATTATGTAAATGTTGACATCCTGAGTTAAGCCGCCCTTTTGTCACGCATTCTTGTGTTAAGACCAGGTGTTTCAGAACAGTGACTCATTTAAGATTATTTACAAGGTCCTTTTTGGTTTTTCATGGGTCAGCTATAATTATGTCTTGCGCACCACCATTGATGGCGACTACAAAATCCCACCTTTGCTAGATGTATTTAACCACAATTCTCAACAGCATAAAAATAAACATAGGATATGTTTAGATTCATTTCAGCTGCTCAAACTTCAAAAATTAAGAAATTAAAATTTCTATACTGCATATAACTTTTGAAGTGGCCCTTTAAGGTCCCGGTACGACGTCAGGTGTTCTAACATGGAACGGTCGTTCTGACATGCAGCGGTCGTTTGTTCCCTGATCAACATTCAAACCACCCAAATGAGCTGCCATTAAAATGACATGTACAGGACACTCATTATATGCATATAAAATTTTGTAATCCCATTTACGATGGAGTCATGCCAGACGACATCTTCTGATATGTGAACGTCAGGACGGAAATGAGAGGTATAAAACCGAGTTCTTAATCAGAAGAAATCTGTACTGAAAGTAGTGCCAGCCATTCCGACCATAACATGGGCACGAGTTTATAAATCAGAAATTAGCCTTGCGCCAAAACCGAACTGAAGGCTAAACCCATGGATATATTGTAATTCTTTCAAGTCAAGTCTAGATAAAAGGACACACGCAGGGCAACTCAGAGGAACAATGTGTTTATTTTATATATTTTTCAGAAATTATTATTTAAACTATTAATTATTACCTTACTTGAGCAAGTCCAATCAGAAAGCAAATATACTCATGCCAATAATGGTTGTCACCCCCTTCAATTTTTTTAATTGGAGAGGGGTTGTGGGGGGGGGGTGTGAGGTGGGGGGGTGGGGGGTGGTTGACAACCATCATTGGCATGAGTATAGTATTAATACCAGGTGTTCTCGAACAGACAAGCATATCAACTCTAAAATCAAATTCTACTGTTAATAAAAAGTAACTGGACTTAGGTACATGTGAAGATAGGGAAGGACATTATTTTGGTCAGCGATGCGTCAAATATGGAAACATCACCCACATGCTTCACATAAAACTTTTCAGCAGTTTTGGCGCCAATATCAACTCTAAAATCAGAATCTATTGTCAATAAACAGTAACTAGACATACAAGTCAGGATAGTAAATCTCAGAGGACAACATGTTAGTCACCACTGCGTCAAATATGGAAATATCATCCACATGTACCACATAAAACTTTTCGGAAGTTTTGGTAAGGTCTTGCGGGTTGTAACCCTAATAAAATTCGTCTTTGAGCCCTCTGAAAATCTACGTAGAAAGATCGTGCTCAATTGTGCCAGACATTAAATGGTTGGAACCACACGTTTTAAAGTTATACATTTCTGGTTACCGATTCTCCGTGTGTCTTCAATACATAACATTGTATTGTGAAGTGTAATCTGAGGAGACGGAGCCATGCTCATCTGGCCCCGGGATCATGAAAAAATCTTAAGTCTAAAATTTGCTTAGCACAAAAAAATCTTAAGTCTAAATTTTTTTGCTTAGCTAAGATTTTAGATAAGACTGGATCATGAAACTGTCTCAGCCAAATCTTAGCTAAGACTAAGACTAAGACAGTTACCATGGCAATTTTAGAATGATGTAATCATGTCCGGTCACTCTTAAATAATTGAGGAGAATAGTTTAGTAGCAGGCACCTGCTGAAATGTTCCAAACAAGTCAACTGACGCTTTTATCCCTGCCGCGGTGACTTTTAGTGTCTTTAAGGTTGGGATGTTTTCTAAATACACCAACACGAACGCCTAAATGCGCTTTCTGCCATATTGCATTGGATAGTGTTTTCAAAATCACGTTTCGCGAAGGCCGGTATTGAGACGCCTATTACATCACGTATATTTCCTATTCAGCTGTGACAAATACATCACTGAATTCCTCATACATTTTAGTATCAAATAAGAAATGGTCTTTTCTCACTAAAACCAAGTGTCTAGGTGATATGAAACGAACGCTGTGCGCGAAAGACAGCACTTGTTGAAATGTAAACAAGGAAACATTGAGACGTTACACTGTGTACTGCATTTTCTCAAATTTCAGACACCCATTCGTCTATTCGTAGCATGCATAGGCTCAATACTTTTAGAACATACATGGAAATAGTATCGTAGCAAAAAATAATAGATACAATACAGTAATGTGATATGTTTATACGAAATTGTCAAAGTTTCTGTGCAGCGTAACGCCATGACTGACGGAAAATCTCGCAGAACAACAACGGTAATGAACGGCATATCTGGCTTCTTCTCTTACTTACAATGAAAACGATAAAACATGTAACAATACACAGATAGTCAGAATCATTCTGATTACTCACATCACACATTTATGTACAAACGATCCCCGAATCAAAGGAAAGGTACTCGCAAAATCCTGTATACCCATGTCACCGAAGCCGCCATTTTGTAAGAAATCGGTCAACGGTTGTGATGTCATATACGTCAACATTGTTGTTACATATTTGGCAATTTCTTTGAGGTGAAGGTCGGTTGAATAAGAGTAAACACCATCGCCATGTTCCACCGATTACACTTTCAGTGTATATTTTGAGTATCTTTCAGATATTTTTTCATGAAACTAATTTCATTATCTACATTTAGCCTTGTTCTATATCATATCCTTGGATATAGGGTATACGGTTTTCATTCTTTCAAGGGTTTTGTTTGTTTGAATAATATTTACATAAGAAATTGATATACTGAGTGTAGTACACCATATTTTAAACCCTTAAACAAGTATTAAAAGAACAAACGAAGGCGTAACTGCAACATGTACTTAAATAGTTCATGTATCATGTGCAATATTCGCCATTCGGACCAATATTACAGTTGCATATGAACAGGTTATGAATAGCGATTTAACTTTCATGACCCCGGGGCCAGGGGTTGTGAAATATTCTTTTTAATTTACGTCAAATTGATGCCAAACAGGTGCGTGTGTTGTTCATATTAAGATACAAAGTCAAACCGTCTAATTATGGATCTATTCAGGACATTATTTAAATGGTAAAATCAGTCATTTTAAGTTCTGTCAAAAGAGTGTTAAATTCAGACATAGAAACCGAAACCTTTTACACAATTCATGGAAATTATGTGAGACATATACTGATCAGCATACCAGTGTCGTTTTTTTCCGACGTCGCAAAATACATAAAACAAGCAATGACGTCAACTACAATTTGGTAATCTTTTCAGTAATTTCATTATATTTGAAGATATGGCTAGTACTCAGTAAATAATGATGCAAAATCAGTCAAAATACATCTACACAAACAGGAGAATATGTGAATTTAAGAACTAATTTACATATCGGATAGGGCCATCCAAATCGCTTTTACGTGCTTTCTCATGTAGTACATTGTCATCTTTTCTTATAACTTGTGAAACTACTAAAACGTATCCGCTCACATTGGGGAACTTTGTATTGGAATACATGTAGTTTGGTTCACGGTGAACAAAACATAAGGAAAATATAGCGTCCGTGTCCACAACGAATTCTCTCCAAGTGATATGAGTTACATTGACCTAGTGTTAAGGATAGCGGAGTTATGCCCCCTTATCTTTATACGCGTATGACCTCTCTGTCGTCCTTTGACGTCATAGAAGAAAATCCATTTTTGACATTTATTGCGAGTCATTTTTAATGTTGAGCGTATAACGTTATGCATAAGCAAATAAACCCATTTCTTATATACTTATGTCGTTCAGATATCAGGCTGTAATTTATTCGCTCACACTTTCTGTAAAGATGCCAAATTAAAAAATCGTAGCACAGTGCTTTTACCGGTGCACGATCAAAAGCGGAGAAATTTACTGTTTTTGAATGCATAGCAAAATTTTGGACATCATTTAGCAGTGTTTATTTCTCAAACCGCCGAGGTATTTGCATTTATACTTATACCAACGGATAGGAAATTTAATATTCCACATTTCTGTGTAATTTTATAGCTGTACGCAGATCCAGGACCACGCGAGCGCAAATCTCGCACAACGTTCACTTTTCAAACCTTATGAAATTGTGCGCCTGAAAAAAGGACTTAAGACTGGTAGGTAGCAGTCTCAGGATTTAAGACCAAAAATGATCTCAGTCTTAACTTTTAAAGGTCTACAGCGAATACTAACAGTGACGTCATAGACCGAAACAGTGGATGTGACGTCATAGACCGAAACAGTGGATATGACGTCATAGAATGGTTCCATGACAACATCGATGGTTCCCAGTCAGTCACCGACAAAACTTGGTGGTGTTCACACGTACATTTGTTGCTCTTGCGCAACTTCAAATTTGTTGCTGGTCTGTGTCTGTTTGCTCAAGTCTTCATCTCATCCAAATATCAGGTAAGAAGGCAGAATCTGAAACCTATAAACTGAATCACTGCGTCTTCTGCTGATGTTCTCTATTAGCGCTTTATCCATAACTTAGGTCTGGGTGATTTAAATCGCTGTCTGCAATGCAACTATTCAAATTCAAAGATTCCAATTTAAGATATTTTCTCCCACAGATGAAGATGTATCCAGAAGAACGGCGGAAGAGTAGGAAAGTGCTCTCCCCCATACTCGAGGCGAATGAGCGTCAGTCTAACCCTCCCAGTCCAAGAACGCCAGAACTACATCACGATTTACTGGGTAGGAAATTCTAATCCTGATATAGTGAACAGAATCAATGCAAAACAGTCATTTAGTTCACCTCATTCACAAACAGTTGAACAGTGTCCTGTGTTTGAATTATTACTTTAGTCTAAATATCCAGTTTTGTTACCAGGATATACTTCTGCAATGTCTTACTTTAGTTATTTAATCAAATACAAATGTAACCCCGTGCAGTGATGATGTAAATAATGGTGATTCAGTTTCCAACTCCTTTGGTTCATTTCTGATCAAGTTTTCGAAATAGCCGCTTATGTTTACCCCATTCAAAAACGATTGAATAGCGTCTTGTGTTTGAAGTAGTATTTTTTATTTCTCTTGACAGTTCAGTACATGGACCTGAAATCTCAAGTCGGGGATTTGGAGGAAAGGTAGGCACAGTTTCGATTCATATCTTCTTGTCGTGTATGTGACAGCTGCTGAATACTGAAATTTAATCTAGACCTGACACACGTTTTTATTTGTCAGTGATAAGATGTAGCACAATGTATATAGGTTTACAGTTACTTCCCTGAGAAGCACATGCTGCTCATCCCTGATGTATGGAGCATAAAACATGCAAAATGTGAAAACACGTGACTTTCCATTTGAGTATTACTGCATAGAAAAAAGAGTTTGTGAAACGATAGTTATTTCAGTACATTACAATATATCGACACATCTTTTTTCAGTCTTCTCGATCATCTGTTCAATGAGAACCAGAAGCTGAGAGAGGAGAACGAGCGACAGGCCCGACAACTCCGGGAGGAGAACGTGTTAAGGCTGAAGGCTGAGTCGGAGAGACAGGACTATAGGCTGGAGTATTTCAACTATCGTCTCAGTTGCACAATGGAGCAGGCTGAGGTCCGGGAACTGAGGCAGACGCTTGAGAAGCTGACAGGCGACTGGGAGAAGGAGAAGCAGGCAGAGGTGGAGCAGAGGAAGAAGCTGGAGGAAGAGCTGGCAGCTCTCCAGCGCCTGACTGCCCCTCTGACCTGTCACACTTCTGGCAATAAGCAGACAAGTTTCCCCAGCCTCAGTCCTCCAGTTCAGCCAAGGAAGACTCGAAGACCTTACACAGGAAAGTCTAAGGACAAGGTTCAAAGCAATATCTCACATGTCAAGACAGACTCCTGTGCTTCCGGTGACAACCTGGTGAAGGCCAAGGCCACAGACAAAGATAAAACCAAGTTGAAGGTCACATCTAGTGTTAGATCCATTGTGAAAGACACCAAAAGAGAACAGGACACAAAAAGGAAACCTACCCGATTCTCCAGGAACATTTCTGTTAGATTTACAAAGGGAAGGCCAGTTGGAAAGATCCGTCAGGAAATGTAATTACGATCCTCGCCATAAAGAACAAACTTTATAAACTCTTTGAGTTTTGGTTCTTATAATGACTGATTTTTATAATTCTGTTTAAATGTCACTGCTTGTTTGATAACATCTGATGATTACATCGCGTCATTGAAGAAACTGTGTTTTTGGTTTTCTTTACAACCTGGTTTATGCTCACACATTGTGCCACTGGTTTATGCTCACACATTGTACCACTGGTTTATGCTCACACATTGTACCACTGGTTTATGCTCACACATTGTACCACTGGTTTATGCTCACACATTCTACCACTGGTTTATGCTCACACATTGTACCACTGGTTTATGCTCACACATTCTACCACTGGTTTATGCTCACACATTCTACCACTGGTTTATGCTCCTTTGTCACCAATACCAAGTGTCAAGGTGAAATCAACGAAATATATCAGGTGTGAAATCGAACGCGTCGGTCGGAAATTAGCACTTGTCTGAAATGAAAACAATACCATGAATTTTTTACAGAATTTACCCTGTGTATCATTATCTCATTGCGCGAGATCCGTGCGTTTTGCACTTGCTTAGGATTGTATAGAATATACATGGGAAGAGTATGGAACCAAGAAGCGGACATTTTTATATTTTTATTGAAACAGATATGCTGTAGATCTATTACAATGAGTAGGCACATTCAAGACAATTTGACCGCCTCCGTGGTGTAGTGGTTAGAGCGTCCGCCCGGAGCGCGGAAGGTCGCGGGTTCGATCACCGACCGCGTCATACCAAAAGACGTTAAAATATGGTACTTGTTGGTCCCTGCCTGGCGCTCAGCATTAATGGGTACAACAAGGACTGGTCGGCTTGGAGTCAGTATAATGTGTCTGAGTGGGGTATTCATGCTTCACTGCGGCATGGTATCTCAGTGGGCTAGCACTATAAAACCAGCTTAAGTCTGGGCTAGTACAAGCAGCCGCACCTACACATACACACGCATGCACGTCGTCATATGAGCGAAATATTCTCAAGCACGACGTTAAACCCAATTTCACCTCACCTCACCTTCAAGACAATTTATTATAGTTTCCGTCTAGCGTGATTATATGATTGTCGCAAACTCACGTACAAGGTTAACGGTACTCATTTCTAATTATTACAATGAAAACGTAAAGGATGTAACAACTAGATGCTTCCGACTATTTGCATGCACATACAATCCCTGCATCAACGAAAGTCCCCGAAAGTCTCCCCCCTAATAATTCGCGTCTTCGTGTCGGTGAAAGTCGCTTACCGTCATGTCATACGTAGGTCAAAATTGTTATACATATTCGGTGAGGTTTATGAATGTAATTACACATGGTCAATCTACCCTGCTGCTTACAGTTTCATTTTTAATGCATCTTTCGTGCATCTTTTTACACATTTCTTCCAAACGATTAATTTTACTATTGGTATCTATTGCTTTGTTACTATAGACGGGAGACCAGTCTAAATAAATTGGCACAAATTACGTCATGTAACCTAAGGGGTGGTGGTGGTAACACTCGCATGATTAGTTCGTAAAACACACGCTTCATAATTGCATAACACTTCAACAAGCGTTCTACTTTCAATGTGAGAAAGATGAGTACATATTTCTAAACTTTGATATTAACAGAATTCTTAAATCCCATTTTGTTTCACTTACGAAAAAGCTTGTATTTTTCGTGTACACTTCCTCTTTGAACAGTGTGGGTCCAGCTTGCCGCTGAACCATAATCTTTTTCTTTTCGCTCAACCCTTACTTTAATGGTAGAGCTCTCAATGAAGCAAGCCTAGATTTTATTCAGCCCTTTTTTCAATTTAAATAGAAAAAGATCATCAAAAATATATAAAATAATCGTACAAAAAATAGTTTGTATAAGTTGAAGTCTGCGTGGGGAACGTACCTGTTAAAAGATCAGGTCAATGGAAATACATTTATTGAGAAATTGAACTTTAGTTTTCAGATGACACACGATACACAAATGGTGTAGTGATTAATGTACTTAAGGCGTAGGAACATATAACATATCCTACGACATAGGCTAGTGGACGCTCCTGCCTGGGGAGGATGGTTGTTTGTTTGTTGCTTAACGCCTCACCCAGCAATATTCCAGCTGTATGGCGCCAGCCTGTAAATAATCCAGTCTAGACCAGACAATCCAGTGATTGACATCATGAACATCGGTCTTTGGAACTGGGATACGATGACCTAATATGTCAACCAAGTCAGCAAGCCTGGCCGCCCGATCCCGTTAGTCGCCTTTTACGACAAGCGTGGGTTGCTGAGGACCAATTCGAACCGGGTGATCGTTGTATATGCACACTGTTGGAGTTGAATGTTGTAATCTACTTAAAACATACAACCCACTTTTTGTAATGTTTTCGGAACACACTTACAATTATTTATATTTTTTACCTCTAACAGGTTATTAATTATTCATCTTTGTTTTCCGATTATTTCCTTTTAATCCACGAACATTTGCAGGCAATACACTGGGTATAAAGGAACGGAAATGTCTTTATGATGGTCATTAGAGGATATATTTAAATATATAACCCGTCTTGATACCACACAACAATACATGAAAACATTTAAATCAGGTTTGTTATTCTACAGACGGACCTTTACGTGTTTCCGATTCGAAGACAGGCCCGGGTATTGCTCGGTCGATGTTCCAGCAGGTGGATTTACATCCCGAAAGTTTACCATAAGCCCGGGATAGTGTTTATCAATTATGCAGTCACCTGGAAAAAATATTAGGGCCGAGACATGAAAACTCTCCTCAGCTGTGTTGGGAAACGAACATGTTTCTTGAACAGTTTTCTTTACTTATAACCAGCGGAATCTCTGTACTTGTATACAGCAGATGTCGTTTGAAATTAGCACATCGCTTTTAGTTTTTGCACACAGCAGATGTCATCTAAACTTAGCACGTCGGTTGTAGTTTCTACAAACAGGGTTGGCTAAAAGATCCATAATGGGAAATATCGTCGATGGAATAATTATCAATAATTATCGATTTGAAATTGTACATAAATTTTGATGAAATAGAGTTTTGATTAACACAGACAATGCAGAAAGGTAGGTCTTTATTCCTGGGCTGCTTCTAAGTTATATTCGGAACAGTGTTCAGCAGTGATGTGAAATATTTCTTTCTTTCCGAGTTTATGTAAAACATTGTCTCGGTCACCGAATGTCAGTTTCAAAAGTTCACTATCTCAGTCTCGGTGTGCCAGATGTACTCAGATTAACTACTCACATCTCAAATTTCCTTCAAATCTGCTGTTCCACAATGAGTGAGTGAGTGGGCGAGTGAGTGAGTGAGTTTTGTAAGCATTTGTGGTAGCTTCCCAGTTTTATTCAGTTTAGAAATTTGTTCAAAAGTTCGATGTCGGGTGCAAAAATAAAATTTATATTTTCTTACCTTTTGAGAGAAGCAAAATGTAATTATGTAAATGTTAACATCCTGAGTTAAGCCGCCCTTTTGTCACGCATTCTAGTGTTAAGACCTGGTTTTTCAGAACAGTGACTGAGTTAAGCTTATTTACAAGGTATAGGGTGTCATTTGTGGTGTTTTTATAGGTCTGCTATAATTACGTCTTGTGCGCCACCATTGATGGCGACAACAAAATCCCACCTTGGCTGGATGTATTTAACCAGATTGGCGAGAGTATAGACTCTAAAATCAGAATTTATTGCAATAAAAAGTAATAAGACATACGATACAAGTCACGATAGGGAATTGCAAAGGACAATATTTTGGTCAGCGATGCGTCAAACATAGAAATATAACCCCCATGTCTCACATAATACTTTGCAAGCTGTGGTAAGACCTTGTAACCCTAATAAATGTCGTCTTTGAGCAGAATCTCCTGACTCTCTCTGAAATCTACGAATCAGTTGTGCCGCAGCAGTAGTGAGATGTAATCCCTAAAGGCTGACATCATTAGAAAGTTGACTATTGAAGTCATCCCTCCTGTCATGGTCTTGTGGATATTTTGTGTCTAAATATGAAACATGTCAGAAGTTTTCAGTGCTTTTAGTTCAAATAGGTACGTCGTTTAGTTCAACTAGTTAAGTCATTTAGTTCAAATAAGTAAGTTGTTCAGTTCAACTAGTTAAGTCATTTAGTTCAAATAGGTAAGTCGTTTAGTTCAACTAGTTAAGTCATTTAGTTCAAATAGGTACGTCGTTTAGTTCAACTAGTTAAGTCATTTTGTTCAAATAGGTAAGTTGTTTAGCTCAAATAGGTAAGTCGTTTGGATCAAAAGGTAAGTTGTTTGGTTCAAATAGGAAAGTCGTTTAGTTCAAATAGTTAAATCGTTTAGTTCAAATTGATAGTCGGTGGGATGGAACAGACTATTTGACGATTGCACTTTGACAATACATATGTATGGCGTTGTACAAGCATCTTAATTGTTATTATTCATTGACCGATTTCATATACACACACACACACACACACACACACACACACACACACACACACACACACACATCATAGTTTTCATAATATCACTGTGTTACCATTAACCATAGCAGAGTTACTTGTCCAAACCACAATTTATTGTAATGTCTGGATAAACTGACCCTTAAGAAATAATTGATTGGTAAATATAAACGCCAAAAGAACGAAAAACTAATTTATTCAAGATTGCCCAAAAAACTGACACCTGTTTGGCTGCATGATAACTATGGTCGTATACGACATTAACAAGTGCGGTCATTTTCAAGATTCTGGCATACAGTCCACAGGAAATCCCATTAGTATCAGCAACTGAGGGTAATAATGTCAATACCCGGGGTACCATCCGCCAACTGCTATAAAATCCCTGACCCCTTGAAAAACAACATTCCAAAATGCAAGAACTTTATAAAGACTTTAAAAGATATTTTTTTCTGTTGAAAGCTTCATTGCCAAAAGAAAGAATGAAATGAAGAAATTTGCAAATAAATGGCATCCATTATTCCCAGTATTCAAACCTGACCGGTGTATGCAGCAACCGCTTTTGTAAAATCTTGATCTGTTTCCCCTTTTGAAAAATATCTTTGTTTTAGCTATGTATTGATTAATTTGTTAACATATTTGTAGGTGCACTGATGTAACATTGGGAACA